GAGGCAGAAGCTCTCGATTCTCTTTCCTGTTGTATGTCCCCCCAGGTGTCAGTGACCAGGAAGTCTGACACTCATAGGATGCCAGGGCAATGCTGCTCACAATTAGGGAAGGGCGAGGCATGGAGAGAACTCTGGAGGCAGCCCCTGTCTGGAGACATGAGCCCTTCTAAACGGGCCTGGTGGTGGCTGTCCTGTAGAGCGTCCTTTAGGTGTGCAGATTAAGCAGGAGAGGCTGTGTTTTGCATTGGCCGGAGCCACGCATGTTCATGTGTGAGTGTGTGTGTGTTGGGTGAAAGAGAAGAGAGAGAGACAAAGAGGGAGGGAGAGAGAGACTGGTTGTTAGAGGCAGGGGGCTTGCCAGGGAGGCACCTGTCATAAGCTCAAAACATGCAAAGAAATTGTGGATTGCTAGAAAAGTGGCTAGAGTATTCATGGTCAAATGTCGGTTACCGATTATGCAGGTGGATTCTGGCTAATTTCTAAACCTGCTTTTGGGAAGCTTTAAAAAGGTGACGACAATGAATTATGTCTGAGATTTCCTTTAATAGGTCACTTTGCTGCTTTCGACAAGTACTTTTATTTGTTTATTTTTTATTTACTTTTTTGACAAGTACTTTTGAAGCACCTTCTTTGCGCCCCACCCTGCCAGGTCATGTGGAATGTCAGAAGGTCCAGGGTACAATCTGCCCTAGAGGAACTCACCAGCTCGTTGAAGAGTCAAGACTTACACAAATGAAACAGATTCGGGGACAAATAAAAGAGTGGCTTCAGGAAAGTACTAGGGTTTCGTGGCCCGAGAGGGACGTGTACCATGGCATCAGCAGCCATGGCTGCAGCTTCTGTGTGCCCCTGGGGTCTGGATGCCAGGAGGGGACGCCCCGGGGGAACTTGCCGGTTTGTGCAGGGAGGGCTTCACACGGGTAGCTGTTATCTGAGCCGCTCCATTCGTGAGTGTATCCCCGTCACGGCATTTGGAGGTCACGTCTGTGACATGTACTGCTTGGAGCCACCCCACTGGGGACCTCATGCCGGGAGGACGCTGTCAGCTGGCCGCCTAAGCAACGAAAGTCAAGCAACTCCGAAGGCTGGTCCCTGTCTGCAAAGCAGGATAGTGTTACTTACTCTTCTGACCTCAGATGGTTGTGTAACAGGAAGGATGGGACGTGGAAGCCCTTGTGCAAAGCGCTGTGTGGTGCAGAGATGGTGTGTCAGTGGCTGTAAAATCTGTCAGGCGGAAAGCAAGTGACGATGGTACCCTTCGCGTCACGGGCACCTCTCCGGTGTCTGCCTGCCCTTTGGTATTCCTCTTGGCCCAACTTTCTGTCTTCCTCGGCTCTCACCTGCTCTTTCCAATCACCCCACTATCCCTGCTTTTTAAGTCTAGCTATCCCCGTGAGACCTTTCCTTACTCCCCAGGCTGTCGAGGCGATAGAAACGCAGGTGCATTTCTCCCTAGTCTACATGTCCGGCCCTGCCCTTGTTCCCAAACCCAGATCCTGACCCCTCTCTGACTGCCCTGTGAGCTCAAGGTCAGCCTTGGCCTCCCTCCTCCGCGCCGTCCCAGTTAAAGGCATCCCTGGCCCACATCCGCTTTGACTCTCTCCTGGCACCTCCGGGCTGCGTGCCACAGGGCACTAGCACTGCCATTGCCTGCCTCACTGCACTGCGGCGCGGCCTCTCATGACCGTCCCCGCCCCATTTCCCCAGCCACACCGTCGTACGTGCTCACCCCAACCAGTATTTCACATGATGGGGACACATGTTTTTATTAGCAGAACTCCACCTCCCCAAAGAAACCTTCCTTGTAACCCCAGCAAATGAGATTTAAATTGAGCGGCCTTTCTTGTTGTGGCTGGTTTGTGGGCTTCTTTCTTTCTCTGCCAGGGGAGCCCTGCCCATCCCCTGCTGCACTCCACCCCCACAGCCGCTCCCGGGCCCTGACATAGGACCTCAAAGTTCAGGCCCTGAACACCACACCTACTGTCTCCTAAGCCTCCTAAGCCTTGTCCTTGTTCCTTCTTCTCCAGAGTTATTTCTGAAACCCAGACCCGACAAGGCTCAAAATCCCCTTCACTTTTTCACAGTTCAGAGACTAAAGCCCAAGCCCCAGCACTGTCATCAGTCTGACCCCAAATGACCTTTTCTTCTTCCCACCCCGCCGTTTCCCTGTGTGCGTGCCCCGCCTGGTGGAACCACTCAGGGACGCTGGAAATTCCCCAGCCCTGTGGGCCCCTCAAGCCTCTGTGTGCTGCTCCTGCTGTTCCCTCTGCAAGAATTCCTTTCCCTGGGCTTCTCTTCCTGCCGACAGGCTGTGCCTTCATCAGGTCTGGGTTAGATGTCACCTTCATGAAATCTTTCTTGAACTCCTATCTACACACAGGTTGTCACTCCCTCTCTGCTCCTACGACATTCTGTTTATACTTAACTTTTTAAAATTTCACTTTCTCATTACATTATAGTTACGCTAAGGGTAGGGGCAATGTCCTCTTTGGTTTCAAGTCCCCCCGAAACACCCAGCCTAGCGCCCAGTATGCAGCAGGCATCCATTCCGTGTTCATTGAATAAACAACTGAAGGAAGGAAGGAAGGAAGGAAGGAAGGAAGGAAGGAAGGAGAGAGGGAGGGAGGGAGGGAAGGAAGGAAGGAAGGAAGGAAGGAAGGAAGGAAGGAAGGAATCAATCTGACACGCTCGTCAAAGCCTGGGTGGCCAGGGCACCGAGGCCTCATTTGTGTCCTCTTTCGTTGGCTCACCACTCTTAAGAAGAAGGGCTTTCTGCGTTTCAGCCTTTGCATGTCGGGCAGCCTATGTGGAGGCAGGGAGGCTCTGATAACAGTGTGGCTGTGCTGTGTCTGCTTCCCCACAGGTGGCCCCTTTCTGGAATGCTCTGACCTCTTCGTCCAGTCCCAGCCCTTACACTCCACCATGCAGCTTGAGGGATTTGAGGATCCGGTGTCTCAGCCCTCTGTCTGATGTAGATAGCTGGCCTCCTGATGGCCTTGGTGCAAAAACCCCATCCCCACCTTTCCTCCAGTTTCTACAAGTGGGTCCTGGCCAGCTCTCCTAAGTCTGAGTCTCTGATTGGTAGCCTGACCCCCACACCCCTGCTGCTGCTGAACCCCATTTTGCTGACTAGTACTTCGCTTCCTATTACAAGATTTCCCCAGTGCTAGCTTTTGTTTAAATCTCAATATTGACCTCCAGCCCGTCTGTCAGCTACTCCTATCCCTCCTTCCCAGGGGTTGTCTGCTTATCTGGGAGTCTTCTTCTGGTCCTCCTTTGTCATTGTCTCACGTCACATCTGCAGGTGTGTTGGCCACCCCACGATCACGGGACATTCTAGAGCTCTGCTCCAGAAAATGACAGCCCTCACCATCCAGATGAACAAGCCGGAGAGCTCCTACCTTGTCCACGTTCCTGAATAGTGTGCTTTTCTCTACACCACTGTTCTAATCCTCATACCTGTCGTGTCTCATCCGAGTTACCTCTCTTGCATGTTAATGAATTTCCCAGATCCACTCTTGGCCTTCTAAAGCATTCTCCACACTTTAACCAGAAAGGGCTTTGAAGATGTAATTCTATGCATGTCATATCACATCCTGTTTGAAGCCCTTTTACATCTTACCTTGCTTTTAGGAATAAAGACCACGTTTCTAGTCAATGTTGGAAAACACTATGGCCAAATCACTTTGTCACCAATGTTCTCTTTCTTCCAATTCCTACACCCTGCTCCCTCCCATCCCAGGGCCTTTGAATGTGTTGTTTCATTTGCCTAGAACATAGTTCTTTCGACTTAAAGCTCAAGCACCCCTTCTTTATGATGTGTACCTGATGCTTTCTCCCACTGGCTCTCAAGGCTCCCTGAACTCCCCCTTTATAGCACTTACCCCATTTTTCATTATATAGTCACCTGATCATTTATGTATTCCCCTCCCTAGGCTGTAAGTGAGGTCCAAGGACCGGGATCATGTCTGTTTCACTCAGTTTTACTGAGCCCTGTGATTAACATGAAGTCAGTGCTTCATACATATAATTAGATGAAGGAAGTAGCCTCGGCATGACCCGCCCTGTGCGTCCCACAGAAGCTAACCAGGGCCATGTACAAGCATGTCCTGAGTATGACACTTTGCGGCTCACCTCCTCCATAAGCCCAAGCACGGATACCACCTTGTGAAGGGTAAATCATTAAGCAAACATACAAGAAGGGGGCTACTGAAATTCTTACTCAACATCCACATTGTTTACTGGAAGTATTTGGATACACGTATTTTTATCACTTCATTTTCTGGTAAGGAGTTTGGTGGCTATTCTGTGCCATTGTGCTCTAAATTCATGGTGCTTCCTTGAATTCAGAGCCGGTGAAAGGTTCACCTCTTCTTGTGAATTGTTTTCTTCTTTTAATCTCACGAGAATATTATTCTCCCATCGGATTTTCCTTCTTGTTTTTGTTGCTGGGATATGTAGTGCTAAATTTCATGTTTAACATAGTGAAATTACCTCTGCCCAGGTGTCTGGTCTGTTCTCTGCCTTTTTCAAAGTTACTTATTTATTTTTATTTGTTTATTTATTGCATGTGTGGGGGAGGGGCAGAGAGAGAGAGAGAGAGAGAGAGAGAGAAAGAGAGAGAGAGAAAGAATCCCAAGCAGTCTCCGTGCTGACAGTGAGGAGCCCAACTTGGGGCTCAAACTCATGAACCGTGAGATCATGACCTGAGCTGAAGTCAAAGAGTCTGACGCTTAACCGGCTGAGCCACCCAGGCTTTGTTCTCTGCCAGTTTTTTAAAGTGATTTTTAAAATTGTTCTATTGTGCTATGCTTAATTATTGGAGACAATAATTCATACCTTGTCATTAGAAATGTATGTATTTATATATTATGTTTTATATTATAGGGTATATAGTGTACCTTTTATTGTTATCATATGTTACATACATGGGATGCATATATTATATATATTACATACATTATGAAATGCTTATACCTTTTTTTTTTTAAACACCACAGTGATAGCAATCCATATTCTTCATTTGGAGCAACGCTGGTGAGAGATGATGAAAAGAATTTGTGGAGCATGCCTCACGATGCGTCCCACACAGAGGCAGACGACGACCGAATCCTGTACAATTTGATAGTCGTTCGAAATCAGCAGGCCAAGGATTCAGAGGTAAGCAAGCCCCTTTTGAGATCTTGCTGTGTGCCGATGACAATGGCCAATAACACATAGCGGTGAGTGAGAAGGCCAGCTGGGAATAAAGAAAAGAAGGAAAGGGGAGATGTTTGGAATGAGGGCAGGTATTTTAGCAGCCTGTGGTTGCTAATTATAGCTGGTCCTGGTAGACCGGCTCGATAAACAATAAGACTGACTTCCAGTTACTACCTCAATTATGCAAGGGTTACAGAAACAGCAAAGCAGTGTTGCCGAAGGTGGTGAAGACAGTTGATCATCTTGCATGGCTTAACCGGTGCTTCTGTAATTTTTCCGGTTGTGTAGCAAGCCACAGTTAGAAGATTCAGACTGACGTTGAAGGATATTTTGTGTTATCACTAATTGTGAATCAGCGGAGCCTGAATTCGTTTTATTTCTTTTTCCTGTTTATCGCTTGTTAAATTGTGCCTCTTGATTAAATGGCAGCGTATCATAACTTTTGTGATGAGGCATGAAATCCATCTTTTTTTTTTTTTTGGTAGTAGCAATTTTTAAAATTATTACTTTTTCAGAGCAGTTTTAGGGTTTTATTTTTTTATTATTTTTTTTTTTAATTTTTTTTTCAACATTTATTTATTTTTGGGACAGAGAGAGACAGAGCATGAACGGGGGAGGGGCAGAGAGAGAGGGAGACACAGAATCGGAAACAGGCTCCAGGCTCCGAGCCATCAGCCCAGAGCCTGACGCGGGGCTCGAACTCACGGACCGCGAGATCGTGACCTGGCTGAAGTCGGACGCATAACCGACTGCGCCACCCAGGCGCCCCCAGTTTTAGGGTTTTAGAGAAATAGAGCAGAAAAGTTCAGCCACTCCTTCCAGGGGCCACAGTTTCCCTCATTATTAACGTCTTGCACTACGGCAGTGACTTACATTTGTTACAGCCAGGATTGATACATTATTACTAGCTAAAGTCCACAGTATATCAGGGTAGCATATGTTCTAAGGGTTTTGATAAATGGATAATGGCAGGTGCTGGAAACACTTCTAATGAACTCTTACCCCCAAGTTACTGGTACAGGAACACTAGAATATTGAAAAGGAGAGAACTGTAATAAGTTAAGAGGGGGGTCATGTTTTATTTTCTTACTATAGTACTATATGTGAATACAATATAATATAGTATTGTGGGTGTAATTTTCCACATAATACTACCTAGGTTTTCTCTAAATTCTGCGTTCATCAGTTAGTTCTGAGTAGATATCTGTATTAACTATAGACCTGCATGTTTTACTTTGTATCTTATAGGAACTAAGAGTAGGGACATTGCAAACCCCAGGCGCTGGCTCTGAAATCAAGTACCAGAGAGGGTGTATGTGTGTTGTTGGGGGCAGGTGGCGGGGGATGGGGGGGCGTAGTCATCTGTTCCTTATCTAGGTTTCTTTATTTTTGCTAGTTGATTGCTAACTATCCCCCCCCCACCCCCAAACCTGCATTAGCAGGAAGTGATAACTTTTAGAAGTTCCATATGTCCTTTTATTCTGGTGCGGCTTGGATACTTTTGGGGGTTAGAAGTGAGTGTGGAGGGGGGCATCGCAGGGTGGGGGCAGGGCTGAAAGTTGCCTCTGGTTTTTGACGCTTGGGGGGAGGGCGGGCTTGGAAAGTCCGCAGGGGCTGTTGATGAGAGTCCTTTTTTGGGTATGGAGTGCCGAGAGGACAGCCTCTGCTGGACATTTGTCACAGGGTTTAACTCAGGGGCCTAGCATCCTGTGAGTGGCTGTGTTCCTGGCTGTCCCCGGCATCCCCTGTCCCTGGCACAATTCGCTTCTCTCCTAGTAACACCGAAAGCACATCCTAAAGCCACTGGGGCCGAGCACTGCTGCCTGGCCGCCCTCCTGAAGCATACGGACAGGAATGCGTCACCTTGCTTTCCCTTGGTGAGAAGAGCCAACCCCTTACTCCGCTGAACTGGGCTGACCAGCTAGGGTTTCTTTCTGCTGGTGAGAGTAGACTCCATGCCCCCACCATGCCCAACGCGGGTAACAGCAACAGGGCCGTTAATACACGGCACACCCCTCTCTCCAAGGCCCCAAGTAAGTGTGGAAGGGGCCGGAAGGGGTGTTTGGAGCTGAGCCCGGCAGCTCTCCCTGGAGGAGCTCCTGCCTCTCTGCTCCCGTTTGTCCTTCCTGTTGGAAAACCAGTGCGGAAGACAATGCAAGCTGTGAAATACTGTGGAAAAGCACAGCTTCCCAAGTGGCCTGTTGAGTCATCTCTGTTCTGCTCTTGGGCCTGGGTGGAGGGCCACGCGGGAGGCCTTTTCTTCCCCTCGCCTGAGAACTGGAGTCAGGCTCAGCTTTGCAGGTACTCTGTAACTGAGACGGCAGTCAAGTAAATAATACACAGATTGATGATAACCACACGTGAAGTGATTTGAAATATCTCTGCTCACGGTGCTTCCTTTGTTTACCTGTAAAATATATATATGTACACAAGGTATATATATATTATATATATATATAATATATATGAAGCATACGCATATCTGTGCTCATGGTACTTCCTTTTTTAAGTGTGAAATATATATACATACACACACAGAGTATATATATTATTTATAAAGTATACGCATATCTGTGCTCATGGTACTTTCTTTTTTAAGTGTAAAATATGTATATATACACACACAAGGCGTATATATTATATATATATAATAAATATATAAAAAATAATAAACACATATCTCTGCTCATGGTCTTTCCTTTTTCTAAGTATAAAATATATATGTATATATACACAAGGTATATATTATATATATATTATATTATATATATTGCATATATTTTGTATGTAATCCTATTATATGTGTAGGTATTATTATATATTATATATGTCTATGTAATATGTACACATGGTTAAAAAAGGTTTCTCATATTTTCTTCCAGAAATTTGAAATGTATAGAAAAGCATATATTAATATACGTATTCTTTTCCCCCACATTACCTACTGTTCCTCACCTTGCTTTTTTCTACTCAGTAATATGTTTTAGACATACATCCATTTCAGGATGCTCTAGATTTATGTCATTGCTTTGGGGGAGGGGTCCCTAGTATTCTCTTACCTGGGTTTGCCATCATTTATTCAAGCAGGCCCTACGAATGTTCATGTGGATTCAGGTGTATTGAGGCAGTGCTGCTGTGGATGTCCGTATAGACTCACGTGACCTTTGGTAGATTTTTTTGGGAGTAGAACTGCTGGGTCAAAGAGGATGCTGGAATGGCCACGGCGCCCCCACTTGGAGGAACGTAGGAGAAGGCAGTGGGGGCTGCAAAATTGAAGAGTATTGGAGGCTCACACGGTGTGTAAGGGGCACAGCTGCTGGGCTCCAGAGAGCTGGTGGCCTGGCTGAAAATGTGGATCTGGAAGTCCTAGAGCTTTTGATTCTTAAGGGAAGCTGAAAATCCAGATTTACATATAAAATGTCCAGATTTTTAGATTAAAAAAAGTGTCAGCTAACAAAATGTGTGTATGGGCTGCAAATGCTTAGGGAACATTTACAACAAGGGTGACTACTACGTATTATTATTGTTATGTTGTCTAGTATGAGTGAAAAATGAATCCACCATTGATTAAGTAGGAAGAAGTGGGAAGCCCATGGGCTTGTGTTTTAAGCAAGTTCCTTGTTTATTACTGTTGCTCATTTTCTTTTTCACAAAGGATAAAACTAGCACAATGTTAATAAAATGGGATTTTAGTTCTGAAAGAAAAACAAAACTTTTTTAAGTTTATTTATTTATTTTGAGAGAAAGAGAGAATGAGAGAGAGAATGTGCAAGCAGGGGAGGGGCAGAGAAGGAGGGAGGGAGAGAGAGAGAGAGAGAGAGAGAGAGAGAGAGAGAGAGAGAGAATCCCAAGCAGGCTCTGTGCTGCTAGTGCAGAGCCCAATGTGGGACTCAAACTCCTGAACTGTGAGATCATGACCTGAGCCTAAATCAAGAGTCAGATGCTTCTCCCACTGAGTCACCCAGGTGCCCCTAAAGGAAAACGAATTCTACCTACTAAGGTATAAGAAACCCTAGAGATGCCTGCATGGTACCATTCAGAAGCTCAAACAAGGTATTCAGGGAAACTGAACGTTATGGTTTCCCTTGAGTAGCAGTAGCATGCCGAGAATGTCCGTATTCGGAAGCCTCTGCAAAATGAAAAATAATTTCAAAACAGTGTGTATACTATCTCCATTCCCCTAGTTGAGGAAATGCTGCAGATAGTGAAGGCTAAATTTGCAGCCTTTTCCCAAAATGAAAAAAAAAAAAGTCAGGAAAGAAGTATATGCAGAGTAAATCATGAAGCAAAAGCGTGAACTTAGAGTGACTTGCACTGACAGAAAATGTAAAAGTAACATTTATTGCAATCGAATAGAATGCACTTTCATTTGCAAAAGCTTCAAAAGCTCATTGGAAACAGACTTTCGGTAGAAGAAATGATCCATCTACAGACCTCCAAGCAGTGGAAAACTTACTGCTCTTGACTTTGAATGATGCTGTAAAATACTTTCTGTTTGTGAGTAAGTAGTGCCACTAACTCAGTGTCATTAGCTCATTCTCATTAAACTAATCGTATTTCACATAGTGCACCCAGTTCTAGGGAGCTTAATGATGGCTTATGAAATTTCAGTGCCTCTTTTTTATTTATTTGTATAAATAATTTTAATCATTGTGGTCTTGTCCTTCAAGATATTAATAGTAATGAAAACAGTGCCAGGCACTGTTCAACCACTTTACATATACTAACCGTGCCCTCTGCACAACAACTCAGTGAGGCAGGTACCGTTGCTGTTTCTTTTGGAAGCCGCCTGCCCGGGGCCACACAGCCGAAAGTGTGAAGCTGAGATTTGAGTCTTGGCTTTGTGAATCCAGAGAGGTCCTTTGTAAAGAGCGCCACGATTGAAATCGCGAGAGAGGAATAGACACTGTCTGCAATTCGAGGTAGATGTCAATATGGGTGAGCCACGTCTGGCCCAAGTC